CCTGTGAAATGTTTCCTCACGCTTTGATGCAAGCAGCTCTGAGTTTATTCAGATTGGAAGGTTTCCCAGCAGCCACGGCCTCCTTCAGATGCATGTGTGACATTTCTGTTGGACTCAGGTCGGGTGATTTGAAATGACCTTCTCTATCACTTTTATCTATTTCCTCTTCAGAAACTCTGCTGTTAATTAGCAGGGCTGGAATCATTGTCCTACAAGCATGAGAAGCTCCAGTACATCCTGTGTGCTTAAGGGCGTTTCTTTCTCTTAGCAGTGTGTGCAGGTATTGAACTTCAGTTTCCTTGACAGAAATGTTCTAGTCCCTGAAGATGCCTGTTCAATTACGGACCATGCTTGTTAAGAGGCAAAACTGTCCCTTTTAATTCAAGTTTTTTTCATGTCTGCAGAATTTTTGGTCACTGCTTTGGAAACTGAGATTTTGACTCCTAACATCATGCCATTAGCCAGATTAAGCTAGCATGCTAAAAGTGATCCATGTTACGAGAGTATCTACATAAAATGAAAATGTGTAATTTGAAAAGGACAGCAAATACAAAAGTTTTCTACCTATCAAATCACTTCAGAATTTTCCAGTTTCAACATGTCAGACTTTTTGTCGAGTTCCTATTCACGGAAATGTGTGGAGAAGTCCCAGTAGTTTTATTTCTTAGGTTAGTTAGGTTACAGTTGTGCCTCCCTGTCTTCCTGGGGGTTTTCACTGGGTGCTCCGGATTCCCAGCACCTGTGAAAGGCCTGCAGCTGAATGAATTGGTGTCTTTAATTTGTTGCCGTCTGCGGGTGTGTGTGTGTGCATCCAGCAATCCAGCTTCTTGTCTCACTTTACATACAGAGGCCCTCGATTGACATGGTACTTCTGATAGCTGCCAGATATTAATTTGCCTTAAGGGAGAAAAGTTAGTGAAACCAAACGTATGTAAAATGTCTGAGTAAAAATCTGCCTACAGTTCATTTTTAATTGGGTTTGCAGGACTAAATAACACTTTCAGGCAGTTAGATGTTCAGTTTTTATCTTCAGTCGGTTTTGATCATTGGAGAATTCTCCAGGTACTCCAGGGAGGTCAGCATAAGAGGAAACACTTCTTTCGGTGAGACATTCCAGAGGATCACACGCTGCCAGTGAAGTCTGATAAATTACATTGTGCTCTTTGGCACTAGCTTTTTATTTAGAAAACCCAGGCAAACACTTGAATCATTTTCTGCTGAGAAATAATTCAGATACAGAACCATCCTTGGCAATGTGTCATTATGTGCATTTCTCCAAAAGCATTAATTCCCTGAAAGAAATTATCTAACATCTGTGAGGATTCATTTATTTTGTTCTGTTTTTTGAAGCTACATTTCACACTCACGCCTGTTTCAGAGTTATGAATTTCACACTCCATTACAATGTATCTCAGGCACAGCACTTGCTGTTATATCTGTGCGAAGTAATCAGGATTTCTCAGCTGATGTCAAGAGGGGCGATATTCTCAGTCTGAATACCTTGAGGGTACATCCTATCTTATCACATGCGTGATTTACACTTGCCTTTTCACATTCTGCAAAATGCGAAACACCAGACCAAATTAGATCATGCTGTAAACTTACAAAGTTTGAAGCCATTTTTCCTTGAAGAGCACACTGTAATAATACCACTTTTGGAGTTAAAGAAAAACATTATTTCTGAAGTGTCTTTTATAGAAAAAATGTGACAGAAGAGACAACATTGTACACCAAGAAAGGCCAGACCCTTATTTTGCCCAGTTAAATTTCATTCAACTACTCCGATTTAAAATTGTCTACTACTGACCCCTTTGCCTGTTATTTCAGGATGAGTTCTGAATACACAAAGTTTCACTTTGCTGAAGTTACCTTTTCCCTTCACATTAATTGGTAGCTGATTTAGTTATGCCAATCTCGGAGCTTTGCTACGTGGTTAGCCAAATATTTACAAGAACAATTTTCAGTATATTAGGCCAGTGTACCTCACACGGCCCACTGGGAGACCTGCCCAGGGACCCCAGGGAAGACCCAGGACGTGCTAGAGGGATTCTCTCTCTCAGCTGGCCCGGGGCCACATGGGAATCTCCCAGGAAAAAATTGGGAACTGCCGCTGGGGAAAGGGAAGTCTGGTCAGCCCTGCTCTGCCTGTTACACTGCGACCACAATGCTCACCAGGAGTAAGTGGTTAAAAAGATTAGATGAGCTGAGCTCTCTCTCTGTAAGGACCCTCTGTCGGGTGGTGAATTTCAAGCAAGGATTCAACCATGGAAATCAAAGAGCTTTCGGAACAGCTCAGGGATGAAGCCGTTTAAAGGCCCTGATTGGGACAAGGAGACAAAAACATTGCAAAGTCCATCATTAAGAAGGAGAAAACACCACTGACTGATGTCACTGTCCCTCCTAACTGAGCAGCCCAGTAAAGAGGAAACCAGTTAAGGATGCAAACGGCAGCCAGCAGTGACTTTGAAAGAACTAAACTGCTGAAAGAACTACAGGAAGATTGTCACCGGCCGAGTAACCAGGCTTGGCTCAAAAGAAAAGAAACTCCCACACAGTAGTCTTCAAATGCAAACAAAACTGGATTTGTTGCCATCAAAAGAGGGATAACAAAAAAAACCCTCACAGGAATACTCTCCACACCTTTCCTCCAAGGCACCCTCCTCCATACTGAGCTCTCCCAGTCCCTTTAATAGCTCCTCCTCTTCTAAGGACCATCCTCTTAAAGGGACACGCTCACATTTTCTTAACAGAGATGGGCAGTTTGACCAAAATAAAGTATTTAACCATCCAAAAAAATACGTATACATTTTAACGGAGTCATGCAACCGTGATATATTCACTTAAACAAAACAACTAACCTTACAACGGTTATTTATAGATGGCTCACCAGTAACCTTTCCCTTTAAGATCATTTGTGTGATACTACAAACAGGAAAGGTGACTGGTGGCCATCTTGATCAACACAATACAATACTCCAACGGGGAAAACACTGCAGTAATTGTAGGGAAACAACTAAAAGGGTATCATTCACACTTCATTCGTATCACATACACTCTCTCAAACATACCAGAAGGGTAGAGGGAAATATTGGAGTATTTCATATTCAGTAAAAGAAAGACAAAATAACAAGCACTCCGTCACAAAGATATGAGAAAATGTTCATGCCTCAGGACTATGCTAGGAATACTCCACAGAACTGGCTCAGATGGCAGAATGGAAATCCCATCTTGAATACAGCAGCGAGTATAGAACAACGCATTTAAACAATACTGAAACAAGCGTCAAAAGTATTTATGTTCGGACAACAGAACTCAAACCTTTTGGTTCCACAATGCTGCACTCAGGACGGATTTGCGTCAGGTGTATCATACAGTCAACACCATCCCCACATCAAGCGTGGTGGTGGCAGCACTGTGTTCCAGTCCTCCTCCTCACCAGCAGGGACTGGGAAGCTTGTCAAGGCTGATGGGAATACAGATGAATCAAAGCACAGGAAAACACTAGAGGAAAACCTTTTTCCATCTGCTAGGCTTAAACATGGGATGACAATTCGGCCTTTCAGCAGGACAATGATTCAAAGCAGAAGGCCTGCTTGAATCCTGCTTGTCCTGACTTGAATCCTATTGAGAAATCCGGGGAACGACTTGAAAACTGGTGTCCAGAAGTGAACAGTAAGCAATCGGAGACAGCATGAGCAAATCTGTCAAGAAGAATAGGCAATGATTGCACCAAGCTGGAACACGGAATTGAAAGACTTAACCCAGACTGGCTTCTACCAAATTACAGGGCTGAATACTTGTGCAGTCAACACATGTCAGGGTTTTTTTGTCTTTAGTTTTTGGTGATATTTAATGTAACATATCTCATGCTTAGAAGGCTTCAGTTTAAGAAAATATGAACCAACAAAATAAAAACTCAATTATTAATACTCCGGATGGGGGGATGATTATTGTCTCAATTACTTATTGTTTTAAATTGTGGTTTATTCTCCAATCCCCCAAAAAGCTAATAGTATTTATTATAATTAAGAAAATATTTTCAGACTTCTTAGTTTATACTTTCAGACCCTTATTTTTTTAACAAAGTACACTGTAGCACATGTTCGTAATTATGTTTTTATTATTTCTACTTAGGTTACTTCATTTACTTATTCTTTATAGACAAGAGAAAGCTTTTCCAAACCCACCCTGTACAATTACTGAGGAATGATGATTTAACAAAATGAAAGTAAATGTGATGCATAAATGTACTTCTTATCATGTGTTTTAAATGAATGTCTCTTTGATGAAGGCAACCAAAGTGCTTTAAATTTCAGATGTTTTTTTACTGAAATGTATTGTTTTTAATTATTGGAAAAAAATGCCAATTCGAGTTTCTACAAAAGGATATGTCTACATGGACCTGGTGTTTGAATTAGAATAGATCAAACAACTGTTAAAACATTTTGGAGTGTATGAAGCAGAGGAGAGTGCAAAGGTGGTCAGTGTGCTCTTGTTTTCCCTTCTGTTTCTACTGTATAATCTTTTCAAAGACAACACTATCAACAAGTGGAAACATCTAAGAGCTCCACAATTACAGCATAAACTAAAGTCATAAGGTTGTAATCACAAATTTAGACTGTAACTGTTCTAGCCTCTATAAGCGATTTCCATTATTGTCTCACCTCTGACAACAGACAAGGTCACTCGTCAACCCTTTCTATAATGGACGCTTGCCTGCCACCTAGTGGCCATTTCCCATTACTGATTGATATATAACAAGCATTCTCAATGATGTGTGAAAATATTATTTCACTGCTTTGCAATTCTTTCATTAAAATATCTATCTATATAAAATACCTATGCACACCTGACATGGAATGTAAATATCTGTCCTAGCAGCTACTTTACTTCCAGATTAGAAATTCAATTAAATTAAATTATTTCCATCCATTTTCTAACCGCTTTACCCAGTACAGGGTCACTGGGGGAGCCAGAGCCTATCCCAGCGTGCACTGGGCACAAGGCAGGGTACACCCTGGATGGGACACCAGGCCATTGCAGGGCAGACACACAGACACAAACCCACACTCACGCCAAGGAGTTTTCCCTGAAGTCTGTTAACCTACTACTATGTCTTTGGACTGTGGGACAAAACCGGAGCACCTGGAGGAAACCCATGTGAAGACAGAGAGAACATACAAACTCCACACAGATAGTACCCCAGGTCCAGAATTGCACCCAGGGCGACAGCACTACGCTGCCCTGCCACCCCTAAAATATCTTCATTAACAATATATACCGTGAACAGCTGGTAAAACTTGGAATTCATTTGGAAACCCAAATAAAATGAGGCAGTATATGATTAAGTTTGGTAAACATTGAATTCATTAAAATAAATCTGAAAGTCAACAGTGGTGTTCGTTTGCTCTTTAAAGAGTCTAAACAAACTGAACAAACTAGCAGAGAACATGAAGTTCAATCCAATGTAAGCAGACCTGCAGTTCCCACAAAATATAAATATATCTTGCCTACTGTGTTAAGAATTGTCTGTTTTAAATTATGTAAGTGGGGCATCCCTATATCTGTAACTGACAGCATCTCTGACACATAGTAAGTTAAAAGGCAAATGTATTCATTGAGTTATGCAGCACTAAACCTGTCTAGCTTTCCATGCTCAGGTAACTTTTAAGAATGAATCTCGAACAACAGTTTCAACTTCTTCAACTAGGTCACTGACGTTAGCATCACACACCTTGTGCCTCCTTGGATCTCTTAGAGACTTTAAGTCTGCATGCATGGGAGGCAGGGAACCTAACGAGCTGAGCAAATTAAGCTGATCGAACGGATCCTCGGCAACATCCTGAAATTTCAATGCTTTCAGCACAGCGGGTGCGAACTTGGCGGGGTGAACCGTGGAGGAAATGATAACTGGGCACGTCCTGTCTTGCAGGCGATCTGCTACGACTTTGGCAGCCGCGGCGCGGGTGTCCAGAATGTATCCTGTGGCTGAATGAACAGCGCTGATAGCAGCCAAGCACTCCTCTTCAGAGCACCAGCCTGCCAGACAGTCCTGATGCATCCTTTTCAGTAGAGCTCTTGGCACCTTAAAATACCTCTCCCTCTCAAACTGAGAAAATAACCCTCTAACGAGCTGCCAGTCCCCATCAGAGATGTGAAAGAGGTATCTCTCGAGGCTAGAAGGCTTTAGGACTTCTGTTGCCGGAGAGCTTGAAGGCAGAAGCTGTCGGTCTCTAAGATCATACTCCCCAGTCCTCATGAATTTCGTTAGAACACCGCTCTGGTGAGAGGCACAAATAAATTTCCTGATAGGAATTCCCATTTGTTTTGCATACACGGCCGATAAAATATTTCCAAAGTCGCCAGCGGGGATGCAAACGTCCACAGGCTCTCCGAAGGCAACGGTGCCCTGGCTGACGAGGTCGAGATAGGCGGAGGCGTGGAAGATGACCTGCGGAAGCAGCTGGGCCCAGTTAACGGAGTCGGCGGCGGTCAGCACCGCGCCACACTCCACCGCCAGGTGGCCCGTCAGCTTCGGATCGCCGAGCATCTGCCGGACCGCCTGCTGGCAAAAGGCCAAGTCCGACTGCACACCGACCGCCTTCAGGTTCCCCTCCCGAAAACCCGTCATCTGCAGTCTCTGAACGGGGCTCACTCCGGCTTCGGGGAAGAACACCAGCACGGCACTCCTGCGCTTTTCAGCCTCGGGTAGACGACTAAAGCCGTTCAGCGCCGCGCTGCCCGTGTCTCCAGACGTGGCCCCCAGGAGTAAATGATTGCACAGGTTCGAGGTGCAGTACGCCAACAGCTGAGGCAGCAGCAGCAGGGAGAAATCTCGGAAAGAAGCCGTGGGGCCGTGAAAGAGCTCCTGAACGTACTGGTTATGTACGAGGTGTCGGACTGGAGCAATCCTTGGGCAAGCAAAATTATCCGCATAAGCCTTCTTGACCATGCTGTAGAGCTCCGGAGCCGGAACGTCAGCAGGATGGATACATTTCTCAAGCAGGATCTGGGCTCTTTCAGAATACGGCAGGTCCACTAATCTCACCCATTCCCGTGGGGGCAACTCTGAAAGACCACCCTGTGGCACATAAAGCCCACCGTCGGGAGCCAGACCCTCGACCAAAAAATCGCTGAAAAATTTCCGCTCTGACACCGAACCGTCCTCTGGCAGAAACTTGTTTCTGGTTGAAACAAACACTTCAGATTCAGTATCTTCACATCTCTTCACGGCTTTTAATACATTTGCGGCCACTTCTTCAGCGCTGTCCCCAGAATCACAAAGGACCCTTGCATCACACCACTTGTTATATATTTTCCGCCTGCAGCGTAGAATCTCTCTCAAAGACACTCCTGATCCGCGCCCAACGATCCTATTCCCTCTCCCTCCCGACAGCCTCTTTATGATGACTTCAGGGTTAACATCAAGGTATATAACAATTCCATTTTGCTTCACGTGGTGCATAGCTGCAGAGTGCATTGGACTGGACTCCGTCAATAAAACAATACTTCCAGACGCAGAGAAACTTGAAAGAGCTTTGCCTTCCTCTTCAACAAACTGTTCCCAACCGATTTCTGACAGCTTCTCCCCTGCAGTCATGTTCCACTCTTTCTTGAGGATGTGATCATCTAGATCAATGACAGGATGTCCTAACTTGCTACCAAGGATGTTTCCTACTGTTGTTTTTCCTGAGCCTGGGAGGCCCATGATGAAGATGTTTTTATGTCCGGTGCAGGAGCTCAGACTTGCTGTTCTGGATGCTGAGAAAGAAACTATAGGAGAAAAGAATGTCTTCCGAGTCAGTAAACGAGAATTACTTTCATTAGAAGCTCTTCCCCGATGGTAAGCCAGGAGTCCTTTGATTGCAATGTTTTTCACAAGTCGACAAGATGGATGAAACATCCTGAAACAGCCACATAAAAAAAGTAGGAATCAGTCTAAATGACAAAAGAACTACAAAATGTAGATCACAGTTTTGTTTCAGGCTTAAGCCAGCAGCCATATCACCCTGCAACTCACAACTGGCAACCCACTAAAGCTAAGCAGGTGTGAGCCTGGTCAGTACCTGGATGAGAGACTTCCTGGGAAAAACTAAGGTTGCTGCTGGAAGAGGTGTTAGTGGGGCCAGCAGGGGGCGCTCA